CCCCCCCCCCCCCGTATAACCTCCACTGATGAAAAAACAATGAAGCTCACTATGATTAAAAGTGGAAATAGTTCCCTTGATTCTTCTTACCTTGACGTGTTCACTTTTTCTTAATTCATTGACTTTAGAAGATGAAGTATTGTTGTTATTATTTTTACTACCATTTAGTCGTACATCAAGTAATTTTACTGAGGCAAAGTCTACATTACATGTTATTTTGGATATTGTCACCTAGAAATGAAGAGGAATGTATTATTGCCATCATCATCATTACCATCACATAACAATACCACCACCATCATATTGCCATCACATTGTCATCAAAACCATTTTCATTACCATCATGTCATCATCATCATCAACACAACACCATCCCCTCGTCATCATCAACACAACACCATCCCGTCATAATCATCAACACAATACCATGATATTACCATCACGTTGTCATCAAAATCATCATCATCACCATTACATAATCATCATCACCACCACCACCATCATCACATCAACATCATCATCCAGGCTGTACATTATTGTATGATGAACAAATTCATCATCACCACCACCACCACCATCATCATAGCAACATCATCATCCAATAGGCTGCACATTATTGTATGATGAACAAAGTCATCATCATCATCATCAACACCACCACCATCACATCAACATCATCATGTAATAGGCTGTACATTATTGTATGATGAACAAATTAGGATAACTGCATGTCAAACCACTTATCATGTACAACATACCTCTACAGGATTGGTATTATAAATTTTTAATAATTTCGTTCTCTTTTCTCTTGTTCCTACTGTTCCATAATCAACTATGTCTTCCTCAAGACCATCAATAATATACTAAAACAAAACAAAACAAATTAGTCCTTGTTTTGTGGGGTTTTTTGCTTCAGTATTTGTTTGTTTGCATGACTGTAAATTTGTGAGGGGAATCAAGGTCAATGGTATTGCATTTGCCTCTCACCTCTGGGGTCTCAGGTTTGATTCCTGACTTGCCATCCAACATGAGTCGAATTTGTTAGTTCGCTCCTTTGCTTTAAGGGCCTTTCTCCTGGTTTTCCTCCCTTCCAAAAAACCTGAATTACTAAATTCCAATTTAATCCGTGAGTTGGCTGAACCTTGAATTTGATTGCTGCACAATGTTCCATTTAAAATTTGAACGTTTGATAAAAACTGTATGCAATGAACATGATAGTGTCATTTGCAAAAAGGGCTTTATTATCACTTAGAGAGTGATTTTACCTTGACTTTGCCATCATAACAGTGTATAGGTATAGTGAATATTGATGCATTAGTATAGACTCGTAATATGGTAGAAAAAGCTGTATCAGAACCGTTAGCCAGGAACTGCACATAAAATGGAGTTGAAGTCTTTTGAGGGGATATCATGGCTGGTTTGGTAAAGTTAATAATCTGGAAGAAAAGAAACAAAAGGATATCAACAACTGACAGATTAACGTTACTTTAAATTGGATTATAGATCCCTCTCAAAATTATCTGGGATGCGGCAAGGATAACAGAAAAATAAAAAAAAAAGTTTGTACTATTTAATTTGTACTTTTGTTACCCTAGCATCATAGAGATTCATATCTTGTCTTAACCACACTCCATGCTTCACGCTCTGGCAGTTAATTTGAGGCAGCATCTCTGTTAGACCAAAGATCTTAATATTACAAAAAAAAATCACAATTCTACATACTGAGAAGAGGCTTTCCACTTCAGGAGGGAATGCTGCATCATATATCACCATGGTAAATGCAAAAGTATTAGTGATTGGTAATTCCCGAATGACAGGTACAAACGGTGGCTTGCCCACATAGAATCTTGTTTTGCTCACAGAGTATGCAATAGTCCTGAAAGAAAATATTATCAAGTTAGAATTAAAGTTATTTTCATATTTATTTTTTCTTTCTTTCTTTTTTCAGCTATTAAATTGTCTAACTTGTCTGACTTTTTAAACTCAGTTTCTCATTGATTAAGCTATGCAGCTGTGCTGCACATGTCTCATATGGAAATTGCCATATAATGATCATTTATGGTATGCTAATACCTAATATCACTGTTTTTGTTAATTACTGATAAATTTATTTCTGAAGTTAAAAAGAGCATTGATTGAAACATCAAAGGACAGATTGATATTATCAAGTAATGATGTAATGGGACAAACACTAGAAAATAAAAAAAACAAAATATTTCAAATATCTTCAGAATGAAAAAAATAAAGAGGAAATAAAGTTATAAAGAAAATAAAAGGAAAGAAAAGAATAGAAGTGGCAGGAAGGAAGTGTCGTGAGTGTCAGTAGCGAGTTATGTAATCATTATGTAATCTGAGAGTATTGAAACTTGAGAGGAGATTTTTGGGGTGGGTGAGTGTTGTGAGAGGGTCAGATGCAACGCGGAGAGAGGAGAGTATGTGATAAAACTGTGTCTCAAATAAATCGAGAAAACAACAAAATATTGTGTGTGATCTGTCACGACAGAAGGAAGTAAAAGAGAAAAATGTAGAAAAATAGAATATGAGGAAAAAAGAAAGAGAAAATGAATGGAAAAAATGAAAAGAAAGGAAAGGAAATGGGAGCGATAGAAATAGAAAGAAGAAAAAGAAAGAGAAAAAATAGAGAATAAGGAACAAAGGGACAAAGCAAGGAAGGCAAGACAATAGGCAAACACTTATTCTAGATATAGTCTTACCCTTGTAATACATTGGCTTGGTAAGGTAGCTCTAGTTTAAGTGCTGTTTTGCTGTTTGTTTTAATTTGTATTTTCCCATTACTTTGTCTGCTGCGCTTAACGTGATATGCTACAAAAATAATCAAAAACAATCAAGTAAGAAATTGAATTTATAATTCCAGGTCTAATACATTCAATTTTTTTGATCATATCATTTCAAGACCATATCTATTAACTTAGTTTGTTGAGCCACATAGCAAACTTAAATATCTGACTGGCAAGGTAGTTTTTGGGACAAGGGTTTTAGTAAGAATTGTAATTTTCCAGATAATAAAATTGCATACCAATGACAACGTATTGCTTACCAGAAAATGTGACTGTAGCAACTTTGATATATTTATTTCCTGGCTTTAAATTAAGAGGCTGTGGGGAAAACATAATAAGAGTCAAAAATATGATGGTAAAGGTGCTGGTAGTAGTTATAATATTGATAATAATAAGCTTCATTTAGAAAGGATACATACAACGAGTAAAGCAGCATATGCCTTTTTCAATGGTTTAATCTTCAAACTATGACATACAGAGCTTAAAGAATATACAAACTTTTGTACTTACAGTGAATGTGACAGATACGGCATTATTTGCTGGCTCTGCTATTATTGACTAGAGAAGAAAAAAAATTCAAATGACAAGCGGTTCCAGTGATTACTGCATATCTCAAAATATATTTGCAGCAATTGTGCATTGCAAAAAATATCCATATCTCCTCCAATAATTACATGTTTATGGTAGAACCTACATGTAATCCTGCCACGCCAGTATCTATACCCTCCTCAGGGGTGGGGAGGGGTGGGGAGGGGTGGATGGCAGAAGAGATATAGATTTTTTCTGGGATTCTATATTATTTATTTTAAATGGTTTTACTAACAGATATGTGAACTTGCTTTGGGCCAGAATTAAGTAAGTAGACTCCAACAGCTTTAGGTTCATCTGTAAGATAATTTGGTAATCGTAATATAATCATTTCCAATCATACAGTACATAGTCTCTATTTGTTACATTTTCTGAAATTGAATGTCACACTTCCTTTGGGACAATCTAATTCCAAGTGATGTGCTTTGAACATGAACAGTATTCTGATTGGATTATAAGTAGCAATCTTGTGGTTCATTATCAGTTGCCACTGTCAAGGCAAGAGYCATGACAGGTAAATTAGACAAGACTGCGGTCAACAAAATAAACTGTTCCCATGTACCTTTGCATACTCTAACGATTTAATTGATTGACACTAGTCTATTAGCTGATTTGCCTGTCTCAACCGTTGACTCAATCAGTGCATAGCAATTAAAACAATGGAAATAACTGTCATAATGTTTTCATAGTCTTTCTGGATCTGATCTAATGTGTTGCCAAGTCAGACATATTAAGACTTACCCATGGTTCTTAGAGTCCCAAAGTCAAGGAGATCTACTGATGGAAATAAACCTGGAACTAAAGAAACTCGTCATGTAAATGAATAGACTTTTACTAATTCAAATGAATCCATGATACCCAGTTAATGAGAACACTGAGAGTAACCAGGATTTACATTACACTAATTCAATCAGGATGCTGGAAACCACAAAGTCCAAAGACTGTTTATTTTCAGTTTTTAGCTTTCATGCTTCGGGCTTGGCATAACCGCTTGAGCAGTGATAATCATCTCAGAATCACTGCTCGCTGAACCAAACACAGCTCGCAAAACCCCTACATTGGAGTCTAAATTTAACTAAAGTATGAATTATTAATCTGACATGTACCTGCTGTAACTTCGACTTCCACAGGAAGAATTAAAAACTCTGTAACAGGCGTAGCATTACTTGTTTTAATGCGTATGAAAGCTGTGTGGTTATTTGGTGAACGCCCTTCAAAGCTGACTCTCATTAAGGCTTTTGTTTCGTATGGAGGAATTTCCTGTAGAAAATGATCATGAGACATTAAGATACTTGGACTCTTCAAGTCATGGATAAATTTTATTAAATCAATTTAAGCAGTTAAAACAATACTGCTTTTAGCAACACAATTTCRATTTTGGCAGTACAACACAACTCAATCCAACCAAAAAATTACAATTATTAATTTGACTTTAGTATATAACAATGTACAAACATCTGTACATATATACATAAACACAAAACATATATCTATATCTATAAATACACGCAATTGTACATAAATTTACATTAAATACACCTATATACATATTACATTACACACCCAGTGTTTTTGTGGGGCTTCCTCTAACCCTGAAGGAAGTTCAAGGTGGAGATCTCCTCCACTTGAATACATCTCTATTACCTGAAAAAAACAAGTGAACAAACTTCCTGAGTGGTACTCAAGATTGTTCAATTAATATTCAATTTTTCTCATCTTTGATGTGACCAAAATACTTTACACCACTTCTTTGCATGGATGGAGGAAGTCCTGAAATGCATTGAAATTTTAAAAAATGCATTTTTTTTATTTTTTTAAATTCTTTTATTTTGTACAACAAGTGCATGATTTCTGCATCAATGCAATCCCAGCACCATACCCCTGCATAGAACCTGAAAATTATAATTTTYACCAGTTTAACAAATAATGGTGGTGAAAATGGAGAAGTTGATAAAGGTCCAAAATGATTCTTCTGAATCATTAATTAGGGTTTTTAATTTTTAACAGTGCTTTTTAACCAAAAATAAAATTAATGATAGTGACACTTTTCCTCCTGTAGCTTTTACCTGTATTGGACTGTTAAATGGATTGTGCATATTAATTAATGACGTGAATGAAAAATTGACGGGTACTCTTGCACCCAGGAATGGTCTTAATCTGTATGGATTAGGCACTCCAACACCAAAGACCTAAAACAGAAAATAGGAAAAAAATTATCCATATAATTTCTTATTTTCTCTTATTCAACAAAAAAGCCATTGCATGTGCATGAGAGATCTTACTTGACCTGTGAAAACATGCATGGTAGAAGACACCTTTCTTATGTTTTATTTTGACTGAATAATTTGTTTCGTGAGCTAAAACAATTACAGCATCTAGTACAACGATAGTCACATAATCCTCAATTGCTATTCAATTAAACATTAATTATTGGCCAAAAAGATAAGAAATAGCAATGAAAAAGAAAGAAATATAGCAAAGAAAATTACATAGCTGTAATAGAAGGGCATATTTTTTCACAACTTTTAGTCTGTTCTTTTTTTAATTTAGCATCATCTTGCAATAGAGTGCAAATATAACCRTGAAACTTTAGTAATACTAAATAGCACAATTTCATGCAAATTCTATTGTTTTCTATTGTTTAATTAGCACTATTTTGTACTATTTAGCAATTAGTGTTTCACGGATTAATTTTTTGCACTCTAATGAGATTAATTCATCAATAAGCAATGAAAATCAATGAAAAGAAATGCATGTAGCATTATAATCTTGCTAACCTGATATGGATAAACTCCTTTGGAGGTGTGAATAAATAAAGTATTTTCTACATTTCCTACTAATCTTGCAAGGAAAACTATTTCAAATGTTGTATTTCCTAGTGGCTGTACTATCTGTAACAAATAAAAGCGAAAATAAATAACAATATCAATGTGATAAAGCCGTGAATAAAAACCATATCAGTTGACATGATACCATAGTACCCCTTCACAGTAAACTGGAAATTGTAAATTTTACCATTATTTTGTAATGAACAAATTAGACAAAAAAAAGACAAAGACATTTCAAAATACGGGAAAAATTTAATCTAGATATGTTTCAGCATTATCAAATGCCATCATCAGTAGAATGAAATTTTTTTTGGCATATTTGTAATGTCTTATTCCATTGGTGCTACTATGTTCCTATTATGATAATATGATTATCTCTACATACACCACGCATAAAAACATAAATATTTTGAGCAATTTGTTTTATGTTTACTAGATATTGGAACTTACTTTTGCCTGGAAAAAAGAAGCATGAAAATGTACTGTGCTTCCAGATATAGATTGTAGATGTAGACTCTGTTCTGTATTTGGATTTATTATTGTTACAGTTTTAATTCTTGGCATTCCTACTGACCTGAAGATAGAAAGAAAATACTTAATGTCACTATATATCTATTAAAATGACCTCAAAAAAACAACCTACATTTATCTAAGTTCATATATTAGTTTATATGTACTTTCTATGATCTTAATGGTAGCTATGGCAACCAAAGTACAACAAGTTTTTGTACATCTTTAAATATTGTTACACATAAARACTGCTTTATTGCATCTAAATTTTTTTATTATTAACATCAAAATATTATGTTGCATAGATCTGCACACACATGAAGATACAAACATGTATATATGTTATATCTATAAACATAAATTCAAAGCATCGCTAGAACATCTGTCTACAGACTTCTAGACTTCCTAACTTAGCAAAACAAAATTTGTAAAAAAAAAAATCAAAAAGGAAATAAAATATCAAATTAACTGGAAGAGAAGAAATAAAAATATTCTTTTTGGATACATTTTTACTGCTAATAATAATAATAATAATAATAATAATAATTAGGATTGGACCTGAATTATATAATTTGAATAATTTAAATAATAGCATCAACCAAGAAGGTATTACAACTTACAAGCAATTACAACCAAAAGAAACAAGAAAAGATGGGAAGAAATAATATGGAAGGATTAAGGTTTTGAAGCAGTTATTTTTTAGAATAATTGTAAATCTTATACTGCAAGTACATAATAAAAAGTTAAGACTTTTTCAAGTAGAAATCTTAACAATTTTGACTCATAAATGAAATATGAGGATGAATTAAATTATATATTTAGTTCTGGAATACATTAGAACTGTATAGTTTGGAATTCTATACAAGTTACAAAATAAAATGTGACAATATCTTTATTCATCACGAAGAAAAAAATTTTGAATTTAAAAAAAATTGATTCTCAAATTACGAARTTTTGAAACATAATGAAACAAGCTTTAATATTAGAAGCAAATCAACTTCAACCAAACCTGTCATAAGGAACTACAGACTACAATTTAAACAATAAATATTCCCTTATTTGGAAGTTAATTAGAGGACATAACACTTTGCACCAACTAGAAAAATAATAGCGCTATATCCTACACTCTGGGGGTTCTTTCATCTCCCTTTTTGCTTTAATTTTTGAAAGTGAAATTTTTTGATGCATGAATAACTCACTATAACTTGAAAACTACTTGATCTCTCGTTCACTGAAAGGAAACCTTGAGTATACTACCTTGAATAATCATGATTTATTTTAATCGTGATAAGTAAACAAGACTATGCTTGCAATACTTCTGTTATCTGACACTAAAAGGTTTTATTGTTGAGGAGTAGAGGCATAATTTCTTATTGAATTGAATATGTTAAACTTTTCTATAAATTTTGAAATTTTTACAAAAAAAATTATACAGATTTGTGCACATCAACAAAATACAATGGTTTCTTTTCTTAATATTCAAAATTAACAAAAAAGGGCTTCAATAGTGGAAATACAATACAAGGAAATAATCCATGCACAATGACTAAGGTTAGAACACAATGAAACAACCTGTTTGCAGAAAGTTTCGCAAGAATTCGTTATAAGACTATAGTATTACATATTAACAATAAGGAAATAATACAAGTATCCAACGCCAACTTCGAAATGAAGTGACATTTTAAAATGTTCAATCATTTGTGTCATAAGCAATGCGTGCTGGCGAAGATAATTTTAGCAACAACACCTTGACAATATACTTATAGCACAAGTCATGCAGACGAAATATTGACAAATGAATACACTCGGCGCCAAAATACACTAATCTTAAATGATTGAGGAATCTAAAAAGTCAAAATTTTTCTCATAACTACCGTAAGATAATGATTTTTGAGGCATAAACATATAATAATTTGTGGGCAATTTTTTTTACCAAACACCAATTTATTAGTGATCAATAAATTTGGGATTAAATCTAAAGATATACCTTATACAAAAACAGTAGATAGTTGACAGATAGATAAAAAGTCAGTAAAAAAATAAGGATTTTGATATGCGTTTACTCAAATACTCACTGCTCGTTAAAATCCAGATATGAAGGGTCAAAACGTATCTGTCTAGTATTTAGCCCATCTCTGAAATTCATAGGGGAAAAAATAGCAGGAATTAGTTAGGGTCTTAAATTGAGATTATAAATTTGAGGGGTAACTTAAAGTACATATCGTTTTGGGGATTTAAATACTCGTACATGTTGGTATTAATGACAATGACAGACCAAATATGTGTGCAGTTAACATTCGTTTATGACCAACAATCCGTGACGAGCTTGAATAAAATAAATAAAATCAGGTGGCGATTTTTTTCTTTAAATCCTTCAGTAGAACACAATTTCAAATCCGTTTTAAAAAGGGGGAAGCACCGTTTTAGCCTTTCAAGGTAGAGAGAAATAGATGAAATTCAATTTCCGTTTTAAATTTCGAGAACAGGTTACATCATTCCCAAGACTGCCTTTCTCAAGTCACAAAATAATACAACTCAGCTTCAAAAAATAGTTAAAGGGAATAACCTTCAGCCCACTGTAAGTATTCAATCCTCTATTTAATCAACTTGATGTATTTTCAGACTTTTAGGAGCTTGGATCGATCGTATAGTCAACCGATCGTTGCGACACAGAAAATCCCTTTGTGCAAAACAAGACAATTGATCAAAGAATTAAGGCAGAAAAGCACATTTGTTTTCTTGTTAAGTTTGGTGGTATATTTGAATTAACAATACTCCTCAAATATGTTATGCCATTAAATAGTGAGGTAGATATTTGAGCTGATATTTTGATAATTATTAGCTTAGATGCAGTGTTTTATCTGTGAGTACGTACAATAGTAGTGTTGGTTCAAAGAAAGGGTTCCCGTAAATAATTCGACAACCCACCCTTCAATCTCATCTGACAACTAATTTATCCTTACCTTCTTTCACGTACAGATCCACTCTACGGAAATGAAAAAAAAAAAACGACAAATCATTAAACACAAACCAGTTAGAAAATCCTGTGTTCAGTAACTGAAATACTTGAATTCTGGTTTTATTGGTTTAATAAACATGTACTAGTAAGCTTAAATATAGCTAACATAGGTTCAGGCAAGTTTTCGTTTACTTTGTGCCAGACTTCAATTACTTAGTGGATTTGAGGCACAGTTTACACATAAACATTAGATTATTTACCATCATTTTAAAACATATGATAGAGTGCATTTAGGACAAGCAGGCAGGAGGAAATAAATTGAGATTCTGGGATAAGTAAAACTCCTGTATACGCTGCATTAAACATGAATGTTCAACCGAAACCATAGTCAGTGTATTCTTGTAAAACGAAACCTCACCTCCACGTGGCTTCCAGAGAAGCGAAGATCTCCGACATCCCCGTGGTACATGCCTATAGAAACCCAGCAATCCTCGTGAGTAAAGATCTTATCCAAAACTGCCAAAGAATAAGCTCAAAACACGAACAAGTTTGAAGCTGTCCGTTGCCACGCTTGCAGAGCCAACAAACGATGGCTCGCATCAACATCAAAACATCTCCCAAAAATCTCAATCTGCCTATACAAACCTGGCCCTGGCATGGGATTGCACTGCATCATGCATATCCTATGTGTAACTTGAAATACTAAAACGATATAAGCAAATAAAACAGGTCCTAATGAAGCGGCCATGACTGCCAGATCGATATGACTTTACTTAGAATTCTCATACACAAACTAAAACTAACACCGCGCGCGCCAGCAAGCACCATGGGATTGGACCAGCGCAGGTGCTCGTTAGTCACATGACTACGGACCCAAAATATACATATATTTTCCCTAAATATATCAAATTAATAATTCACCCACTAGCAATCACGTTCGTAAATAATCGTGATCAACGTGGACGTCAGACATTGTAAGTGTTTTTCGACGTCCTGGAGCTTTTGTCATCCACTTTGGATAATACTTACACATCGAAGAGTTGTAAATACTTGGTCAGCTTGGAAAGAGCGCGGGTTCAATAATGCCTGGATGGCACGATTTATAATCTTTTTTACTGTATTTTTTCGTTGCATTTCATTAACCGTTCTTGTGTTTTCACTATTCGGACACGCGACCTTTTTTTAGGTCACGGAAACATAGTCCTTGGAAACATAGTCCTTTTATTTCTCTTGGGAGTTTTGCGATTCGTGTCCTAAATGATATGCAAAACGGATTAGTAAAGAATTGTCAAGTAAATACATTGACACGAAACTCAATTTGTGAAATACCGATTTAAATCTTAGGCGTACACGAATATCACAAACGTTATCTTATAAGTTGCTGCCTAGTGTCGTTCCTAGAAGCAATAATCATCAACACGCCAAACGTTCAGGAATACTTCCCTTGGACAGGGCAGAAAAACGGGTTCTACCTTCGACGTTTATGCGTTAATAAGCTTTATATTTCATAAACAGGCTCTTTTGGGGCTGATTAACAAAATACCAAAATTTGGGGAAATTTAAGGAGTGCGAATTTGAGATATAACGCCCCTAAACGTTGGGTAAGATGATATTTTTTTATCAGCACAAAAACTAATATTTTCGCTAATACTTCGAAGTAGAATTGCTCGAGGTTAGCAGAATTTTGTGAAAAGTTTAAAGTACAAGAGACACGAACGAAACACTAAACGTTTTTTAGCATGAATTAGAGATAAAGAAAAGAATTGCGTAAGTAGCAGCCTTGTCGTTTTTCTGCTCTGTCCTTCCCTTGACTTTTAATTAAACACCAGCATTACCTGTGAAAAAGGCGGGCGGCAACAACAGAAAGTAAAGTACTTTTTAGCCGCAAATATAACCTTGGCCGACTATTTTATTAATTTTTTTTTTTCCATTCGTTTTTTTTGAAATTTACATGTAAATAGTTTGATGGGTTATTATTTCTTTTTATACGGTCCTGGATGCGATCAGTTTTTAAGTTCTGTTTAATTTTCGTGTTCAATTCTGTGAGCGGATCCTATTCAACGAGTTCGAGAAATCCGGTGTCTCATTTCATCTCCTCTTTTCGGAATTCGCCTTTTCAGTCGGTAGTTCTACACGTGCTACAAAAACTCACTCACCCTCTAGTTTAGGTGTGTTCGTGGTCTAGCACCAGACGTTTGTCTGCAGCTCGACCGCCTCAAAAGAGTAAGCTGGACAAGTGTACGTATAGATATACCGCCAGGGCTTTCGTCATGATGAACAGTTCCAAACACCTGTTGCGTAAAAAGATGTTCATTAAGCGAGACAACACTAGTTAAGTTACTGGTATGTTATCTCTGGCGGGGAAAAAACTGATTTATTTTTTATTGTAAGCGATTGTCAGCTTTCCTTTAGGTCAATCAGTTGCCCATGTCCGCGACAGGCGTAATCGTCAGTGTCGCGCGCCGCGGTAGCGCCGAGCGTGTATAGTATCTGTTTCGGCATCATTCAGAATGAAACCACAGTTTACCACCCTCATAATTTATCGGTACAGTCTAGGACACAATCGGATTTTTGGTTGCACCTAAAATAAAAAATTATTACTCTGATTGTTGTATTGATAAGTCTATTTTCATAATCTTTAAACTGATGACTTCTCTTTTCGTGTTTCGCTTATACACCCCGAACAGTTTTAGAATATTCTACCTTTCTACCTTGAGTCGAATAGACTTCGGGATAAAACTATTATCCTTTAGCAATTACCATTTATAAACAGATGGGCTGTATTCGATTGTAATTGAACTATTCAAAGTGCAGTATAATATGAGGATTTAATATCAAGTTTTCGGTTACAAAAGAATTGCTGCAATAAAGCCGAGCTTGGCTAGTAAACTGATACCTTGAAATTTCTTTTATCATAAGCGCACGTATTATGTATTCTTTCAAAACGAAACAGAAACTGAACAACAGACGTCGGTCGGGCCAAGGAAATAATGACACTTTCATATCTTTCATGTAGGAAGCTTTTAAGGTCACAAAGTCATGACGACAACGACAAAACAAAAGTAAAAATCCAATTTTGCTTTGGCTGTGTAGCAGAGCTTAATTCCAATGTTTTGGTAAATATAATTAACGGCCTAATTCAATAATGCCTAATAATAACATGCCCGACCCCTAGAGTCTGTAGGGTTGCCGGTCGTGAACTGATCATCCGGAAATCAATTTAAACTCTTTGTATGTAGGACTTCCCTAGGACGGAAAAAAACAGCTCAAGCTGACAACTTTCTTTTTAACACTTTCATTTCTGACCTTGCTATATTTGATTATTTGCCGATTTTATGAGCGCGCCTTTCAATATTCTAAAAGATATGACAGCATGATCAGCGCTTAATTTGGTGACTCCATGGCCATGCTCTCCTAACCACAGATTCACTGCAGGGAATGGAATTTGAAAAATGGCAGTATCTAGGGGAGAGTGGAGAATGGAAGGGAATTCACCTCCCCATGCCACGTATCTTCATTTCATTAATATCTGGCATATTTTTAACATAGATAACTGTATCCAACGAAAACAATTTTTCAGTAATTTAATTTGCATGGATCGTGCACCAATTCATAAGCTAGCTTCAAGCCCCTCAAGCGGAAAGGAATTTGAAGTTAAGTCGTGACTTTTAGTTGTTTGTGGTTGCGAGCCCACAGTAGTACGGTCCTTGACCACAACTGACAAAAATCATGTAATTTCCGTCTGTTGACCCGTGTTTCTTCCTGGTCCCCAGACCGGCGCAGCTTTACTGACTTCATAATGAGTCACATCCCTGGGCTAGCACCGAATACAGAATTTGACGGTGTGTGTGGGGTTATATAGTACTGAACTGGCAATTGGCCTCAAATTAGTAGTTAACTGACAAATAACCTAAAATTAGCGGCTAACTGATATTTCATTAATTTAGTTCATATTATGGTCGGTGGTCTCATAAGATTATTACTCCAGTTAATTACTGACAGTTGTCCTAAAATGTAGTTTTTCATTAGTTTTTAGCTAGTTATCTCTTGTAAAATGTACAATCGGGTACCCCCATGCACACCCATGGAACTGACCGCTACTCTTTGGATCAAGTATGCATCTTAATGCATGGGTGGTGTCCCGCGGGTACATGTTACTAGGACCACGAATGAYTGGGGTGTTGGGCATTTGCAACCGGGAGGTGGGACGAAGTGTGTTTGGAGGTACTAGTAGGGGAGAGGGTCGTGACATCATCTGGAGAAATTTGAACAGCTAAAGCTGCGATAAAGACGGAACTAAAGTTTTTTCACTAACAGGCTCCAGCATTAATCGAATATCCGCTTGAGATCAGCCTAAGCTTGTATAATAAAGCCTCTTCGGCCGTCTGAAGAATTGATGATGGTCACCGATCCGAACTGATTGCCTATTATCCGGTGACTACCAGTCATGAGGTATTGATGTCATGATGTTAATGATGATGATGATGATGATGATGATGATGATACATGATGATGATGATGATACATGATAATGATGATGATGCCTGATGATGATGATGATGTCGATCATGATAATATGATGGATGATAGGATGGTGACGTTAATGTCAAATATTCTTAAAATGCAGAACAATGCTCGCTGATATACTCGCTCCGATCAGTATCGTATACCATGATAATCCCATATGAATTTTGTCCACTCTAATTTTGATACACTTGCCGACTCCTGTTATAGCTAGTGTTTACTAAGATTCTAGCGGCGATACGCGATTCAATAAAAATTGCGTATCTTTTCATTGAGCCTGCTGGACCAGATAAAATCATACCAAAAGCTTCGAGGATRCAGGAAATGATTTGATCGCGTATATCGTCATGGACCAAGATAATTATTATTTGAACAAGCTGACAATAAAACCTTTGTTGTGCCCAAACGGAAATGAGTTGGTCGCACGCTTTGGGCCAGTTGAGAACTAAATTGGTTTATAAAGGAGAAAAGATAATTATGAAGCTTTCGTGAATTGCTTTTGTTCAAGTTAATTAGATTTTTGTTTTATAGTTCCGCAGTTTTCTTAATTGGGTGATTTTGATGAACACTTTATTTAATCGACGTCATAGACGACCGAGGAGAAAAAGAATGACGTGTAGACTAGATTAAAATTAATATAAATTGACTTTAATCAGAACGTCTTCATCAAGATTTTTCTAATGATATCGTTGCTCGGTATAAATAAAGAGCAGGTGTTTCCACTAAGTATATCTATAAGTCATATGTATATTTTTCTTGTTTTAATTAATCAATAATATAGTTTCGTACAAAACCTGTCAGATTTTCATGCTTTTAGGTATCGCTTCTTTCTACTTTATACACGATCACTATTTGTTTGTCAGCCGTTTATTTTTGTCTTTATCTGTTTTAACAAGAACAAGCACCATTACTGGGCGCATCAAGACCAGTCAATAACGAACACCCAGAAAGTCAAGCAAGAAATTTCCTGCTGCTTGATAACGGGCAATTGCAACTCATGTTTCAATATACCTTAGGTCGTACAAAGACCGCGGTTCAATTTTCCTTTCTCTTCCCTCCCCCAAGGATATACAAGTCTGTCCCCGCCGCCGGGTAATTTTTAGCATGGTCCTTTCGAGAAAGCATGCAGAGAATGGAGACCTGAGAAGAGCTGGTTGAAAAATTAAATGCGTTTAGTGACTGATTGGTTTACAGTATTGCAGTAGGGTTGAGCCCTAGAGGAGAAGATCCCGCGGGTTCTCGCCATGGCTGGACGTCCAAGAGGCTCGGCCAAGCACAAAACTCAAAAGAAGAATAACGACGACTGGGTAGCGGCGCTTAGGGGAGTGGGAGGGAAAGGGGACTGCCCCCCTCCCCCTCCCCCTCCCCATCTCCAAAGCGCCGCTACGCAGGCAGGAAAGAACTCGACATACGCACGCGAAGCATTGACCATTTCTTAATTTTAAGATATAGCTATTTCAAAAAAGGTTGGTAAAGGTTTTGTTGCATGTTGCATGTTGCATGCTGAACGTTGCATGTTGCTTACCATGCTTGAATTAGAGGTTTTTCATGTGACGTCGTGGCAGCCATGCTTGAGGGCAAAACAAAAGAAAATTTCTCCTTTGGGAAATCCTCTTTCTCATGCAAAATGTATTGCAATGCTCCTGTCCACAAGCATGGCTGCCGTGAAAAACATTTATGTTACATTCATGTTGTAAATGATGTCAGCACAGAAACGCCGGAGCAACGTGCGGACAAAGTTTTGGGAAATTGCATATAGTTGTGACCTTTTGCTGGTTGCGCCGCAAACATTCACATAACCCATAGTGCATTTTGGGCTTGGYATGCAGCATGCAATATGTAATAAAGCCTAAAAATAAAACGCATACACCTTAGTGTTGGCAGGAAAATGGTACATTGCTTCCTTTATAACCAAAACCTCGCTACACACTCCTTGGCAAAGGGAGAAGACCATCAAATTTCTTTTCCTTTTACTGGAGAAGGAAAGCCTATAGCTTCTTCCCTAGCAGAAAAATAATCCGCCTTTAAAATCTTTCTTTAAAAAAAGTTTCAGGAACACTACATTTGAAAGAATAACTCAAGAATCTAAGATACAACCAGACAGATTTGGGTTACCTGTTGTTTTTTAACTCCAGCGGTCTTTCCTTTTAGTTTAGGAAATATCGGACAGGAAAAATTTCCAAGGTACGTAAGATTTGTATTCGTTTTCCTCCCCTAGGGTTCTTTTACGTCCTAGAAAACTGTATTACATCAGGAGTGACTCTTATCTAGACCGCTAAATCCAGATATTGTTTCCTGAACGTAAAAGGAAGGGTAAAAATATCCCAATTCTGGATAAGGAGGCGGCCATATTTTCTCATGGTGTCATGTATCGAGTGCAAATATCTCTGAAAACTTTTCATATTTTGCCCTTCGAGTCGTTTTACAGTACGTGTTATGGAATACGTTCTTAATAACAAATTTTCTTTGTTCTACCTTCACTTTTCCGTTGGTTTGAATGATGTTTTGTCTTGTTTTCCTTCATTACATTCGAATGTAATTCATGGCTCCCCACATCTTCATTGACAGCGTGACTTGTTCACATGATATATGCGCTATTTCCGAGTGTTTGGGCGTGATTTCCTGGTTAACCCAACTCTTACTCCTCTTACTGTAGTTACAAAAGAATCTGCGAATTAGTAGTTTAATCGAATTAATCGTCGTTAAGGTATTTGCGCTTCAGATGTTTTCATCCAAATTGTACAAAAACACTGTAAAGGGAATAGTGTGCTGTGTCTCTTATACTAGTGTCTAACTTTACCCTTGAAAAGTTTAAATTTTAAGGGTACGCTTTCAATATTCAGATGGCGGTAAGTTTTTGTACTGTATTTTATTTAGATAATATGATAAATTTAATCTAAGCGTTGTCGTAAAAGAGTCTATCAAAGAGTCTATCAAAGAGTTGATCATGAGGTCTGCATATGTCTGACTTTCATTGCAATCTTTTTTTAAGTTTTTRAATTTTATATATTTTCAATTTTTTGTAAAACATCTGAGCTCTTATTGGTCAAAATTGTACTACTTTTTAATTATAAGATATTATAAAATGTTTCCCTGCTGGCAGAGATTGTACCTTTTCTTTCTCACTTATAAACTTACATGTGTATGTTAATAGCAATTATATTTAGTGAGGGTGACTTCTGATAGTTGCCAACTTAGCACTGATAAACTTGTGTGGCCCTCTATATTTTAATGCCTCTAAGTGAAATAGGACTGCCATTTTACTTTGTTTATCTGAGCCACAAAATGTCTCACCATTTGCAAAATAAGAATTAGGGCAGTAACTTCTACTGGGAAGTTTTTCAGACTATGTTGGTTGAGCCACAGAGGGTTTAATACTCAACCTCCTGCTCAACTGACTGGTGCCCAAGAAGCTGAGCCAAATGGGAGTTGGTGTATCTATTAATTACTGGGAGGCTTGATCTATCTATATACAGTGGTCTTTACGATGTCCTGAGTCAAAGGCTGATTTACTGCAATCTCATAAACATGCAAACTCTGTGTCTACCAGCTGCCACTGAAATTTGGTTTTTCGCTGCTGTCGATCAAACATAATCAATCGGTACCTTTTATATTTTTGACTGGCGGCAGGGAAAAACCAAATTTCAGCTTGTAACTTGGAGACAAAGAGATCACTTGTTTATAGTAATATTCAAAAACTAAATGATGGAAAAAGATGCTTTTATGATGTTTTTCAGTGTTTTGTTTTTATCTCATGCAGGGATAATTAAAGTATTCAAAAAACTATACATCTTGACTTATTATTAGAATGTCAAGTGCATCTAAATTTGTACTAATTTATTGTCAAGCAGACTCTGCAAGCAGTATGAAACACATCCTCTTGAGTAGCATTTTCTTTCTTTTTTTTCTTGTAACAAAATTAAAACTACACTAGCTAATATATATCAAAACAGCAACACAGGGCTATCTACATCATGTACATGTTTTTCTTTCATGTTTGTATGCACAATAATTGGTCTGTCTGTCCAGGCCACATGCAAAAAAAAAATGGCATGCCAGTAGATGAAATGACATAACATTGGGATGGTAAAATTAGAATGATTGATTGAAAAAGTCCTTTCATTAATCAACACTCATTATTTACTTCTATTATTGTAATCACATTCTTGACACACCTAGCTTTTAACTTTTGAAATCAAGCTATTTTTATCAAGCCTCACCCAAGTTTTAGATGTTATCTAATTAATATCACATTCTTTTAGTTTTTGATGCTCTAGTAGTGGAGAAGCTCTTTCCATTGATGTATTAATGCTTGTCTAAGGACATTGACTTTTTACCACGTTTCTATTTTCCATAAGAAATTCTGACACAAAACAGGAATTTATAAAAAATGGTACTGTATTATCAAAATTAACTGAATTGCTTAACAAACCTTAACTCAGTTCAAGTAGCAAATTAACCCTAAAGAAGGAGAAAATTAAGAAATATTCAAATTCTATTCATGGATTTTTTTWTTTTGGAAATATACTGGTTCTTAATGGTTGAATGATGGATCTTTTTTGTTTTACAGGATTCTCTAGATCAGATGATAATGGTAGAGATTTGGACCTACCTTTCATTCTTCTTCTGGTATAGAAGAATATCAAAATGGCTTCTGCATTATGCCACTGGCTGTTGTGAGTTGCAAAGAATATGCAACAAAACCCAACATGGTGCGGCAAGAACTAAATCAATAGGTAAGACATGCTTTCATTTTACTTCTAAACTTCATTACTGTGTAAAACTTCATAGCAAGTTTAATTAGTATTATTTAGTATTATGGCTTAGTATGATTACTAATGACTGGACAAGAAATGCTCAAAAAAGAGAGACAATTAAATGCTTTTTAAATACATGTATATTCTTGGTGTGCGCGCACATATGCGTGTTACATGCATCATAGATGACATGTTGGTTGACAATAACAAAGCCTGCCTTTAGCTTTTCAGGTTAAATCAACCAACATGGTTATTGTTATTTATATTGGCCAAGAACAAATGTGCAGCTGTTTCGAAGATTTAACAAAAATTTATTATCATGTTATTGGATACATACCTAACTTTTGGAAAAATCTAAAAATATCATTTAAAAATCAAAATGGAATTTGCTATTTTCCATAAATTATGACTACATAAATCCTATTGACAGGGCTAATTTTTCCTATATCTATCCTGAAGGCCAAGCACAATAGGTCTCTTTATGTTGATTCAAAAATAACAAGCTCAAGAAATAACAAGTTTATTCTAAAAGAACAAAGAGAGAAGATTGTGTTATTTTCTGCAAATCTTAGAGGTCTAAATTCTTATTTAATATTTTTTCAGAGGAATCCTTGAGAAGTTCCAGGACTAAGGTAATAAAGAAATATGATGATCCTTTTAAGTGATTAAATTATTATTTAAATCAATCTTCATTGCATTGTTTCAAAAAATATCCATAGTATATAGGCTAAGCAAAGACTGAGATTGATTTTAAAACTCCAGGAGGGGATGTTTTCTGGAGCTATACTCACTTCAACATGAGCACCTCCAAGAAAGAAATTAAAAAGGTTAATTGCCATCTGTTTCTTTGAAATTCAGGCCCTTAGCGAGCTTCCTGATAAGTTAAATGTGAAAATTGAGGAGGCTGTCATGTTGGTTATGACAAAGAAAAAAATTGATGTTGGTCAGGAAAAAATGTAAGTGAGCTAAAAGAATGTCTTAATATATAAATTTGGAATTTTGTCTTACAGTGGAACCACTATAACTGGGGCCACTTAGACAGCAAGAACCAAACAAATTGTAGAATAAAAACAATACATTCCAACTTTGGGTAGTGGAGCTAGTCAGCATATCTTTCAACATGTCTTTTTATTCCCATGAGAAAATGAGGGTGGCTATCTAGTTGTTTACATGTAACATCAGAATTGAATTACAATTCTCATGCAGTCTAGGTTGCTAATTACTGTAGCTCCACTACCCAAAGTTGGAATGCATTGTTTTTTATTCTACATTTTAATTGGTTCTCTAATCTAACTGAACTAAGTGGCCCCAGTTACAGTAGTTGTACTGTAACCATGCTAAGTCATCTCATTACAATTGAATAAAGTAAAATTGAAGAAGTCATTTTTTCCTTACAGGTTTTATGATGCAATGCGTGTGTGCTTGAATCAAATATGTGGATACACAGAGTTGTTTAAAATTGTAGAGGAGAATAGGCAAGTGAAGTACTCCTCAGATAATGAAAGTCACGAGAAGAAACTCATGGAGGTAAGTAGATCAAAAACTGATCCCATGTACACTCCGCATGTGTTAGTGTGTGACATGTGTGTGACAAGTAACTTGAGTAGAGAGATGAGTCTCAAGTTTCAGATATATGTTGTAAGCCTGATTTCTATTATAAACTATAATGTATTATCTGTTATGGATATTTTTAGCTTTGGAGTAACATGATGCCAAACACAAAACTAGAGGAGCGAATAACAAAACAGTGGGGTGAGATTGGATTCCAAGGCAAAGACCCAATGACTGACTTCAGAGGAATGGGAATACTTGGACTAGACAATTTATTGTGAGTTTAGTATATAAACTGTTTTTGTTTTGTTTTGTATTTAGATCTTATTAACCAAGCGGAAGGTCTGTATGGGATAATCTTGACTGAGGTCTGTACCTGACCGAGGTCAAGATTATCCCGTACAGACTGACCAAGCTCGGTTGATAAGAGTTTTATTATATGACCACTTTTCATTGAAAAGGACAAAATGTTTTCGCCGTAAGATTAATATGAGATCGGACCGGTTAATACCAGAGAATCTAGTCCAGTCCGCGATGCGCTCTATCCAATCAGATTGCTCAATTTGCTAGTGTCCAGGCTCTAAGATTCATGGTCATATAATAAAGTTAGGTATAATATAAGTAGGATATTAGTAGATTGCTCAAGCAGGTATCTGTTAGGTGTCAGTAGATTGATGGTACGATTGGAAAATTAAACAAGACTTATCCCTGTAGGTTGAAGTTTGATTGGAATTCTATGGAGTCATTAAATTTGCAGGAAGGGATCCCTGTACAGATTGATGATAGAATACATTATGGGAATAGCTGAATCACTGAAAGACATAAAAATAAACCATTAGTCATTCCTGTTAAATGGGAAAAAAATTAGTTGTGTGTTGACCAAATTGGAGCTAGGATCACTAATGGTTTCTTTTATCATTCAGATACTTTGCATCAAAACATACACCTGCTGCAAGAAAAGTCCTCTCAAGTTCACACCATCCACATTATGGGTTAGTGTTCTATGATATATTTACCAGTCTATATAACAGTGCAACTACTATAACCGGGACCACTTACACAGCTAACCAATCAAAATGTAGACTGAAAACAATGCATTCCAACTTTGAATAGCTGAGCCAATCAGAAGAAGTCTAGACTGCACAAGAATAATAATTTGACCTTTCTGTTACATGTAATTTATTGTATTCATTCTACAATTTGATTGGTTCTTGGTGTCTCGGTGGCCCTGGTAATAGTAGTCACACTGTAATAATATGCATCTGCCAGGCATGAATAGAAGAATCAAGTACACTAATGAACAAAGTTGGTAATTGAATAAAACCAATAAATTAAAACAAAGAAGAATATTTGCAATTGTTTTACATGTCACTTGTGTTCTTTGTTTTATTTATCCTTCCTTGATATTTTTATTCAATTGCCAACTTTGTTCTACTGGTAGTGGATTGCCTGCCTTTTATAACATTATTGCAGGAGATTCCAGACATATGCACCAGGCAAGAATATTTATATTTGATTTGACGAATCTGATTGGCCAAAGGCTGCAAAACAAAAACAGATCTATAAACTAATATGTAAGCAATTATTATTGCATTACTGCAAGACTATGGTTTTATACTTATGTTTTAATACTAACGAATGCATATTTGTTGAATTGTTTCCTCTAGATACTCTTACGCTATAGTTGGCATCAATATTACAGGAATGGCTTACCGGCTTCTGAAGACTGGAGCACTGAGGACTCATTTTTACAACTGCAAACAGGGAAAACCAACAATGGATGACTTTAATGAAGTTTTTTGTAAGCAAGAACCAAATTTGTAATGGAGGCTTTGCACCATCACGTGATAGCAGCCATGTTAGATGGCAGGAAAAGTAGAATCATTTTACATGAGAAGGAATTTAATTCCGAGATCAAAGGGATTTTATTTTTCTGCCATCTAACCCCAAGCCGGCCAAGCTGTATTATGGATGCAGACTTGTCATGGTGCAAAGGCCTGTGTAGTCTCCTGAGCTCAACAAAAATGATGCATTCTGATCTAGTTTGGGTACAACAACACCATAAAGGCAAATGATGAACAAAACGTGTTTGTTCTAAAGCTAGAATAGAATAGACTTTTATCACACAGCAGCCATGCCATTTATTCCTACAAACATAAGAGCCTTTGTTTCTGCCAATTCAAACATCCTGAAACACTTGAATGTGAGGCTAGCTAGAAAAATATATTGTTCCAGCCAATATTGGCTGCAATGTAAGAAAAGTCTGTGCACTACTTCCACTGTTCTTCTTTCATTCCATTGTTTTCTTCTCGATACAAAATTATACTGCATACTCATATAAAATCATTTTGATTCTTTCAGGTTATTTGCTCTTTGAATTTARCTCCTTCTGGTTCAATGAAAAACCAGAAAGTGTCATGGAGTTCAACAGAATCAGAGACAAGTTTGAAGAAAAAGTTACAAAGATGTTGAGTGCTGATATCAATATACAGCTAACATTGAAATACAGGGATATTAGTGATTTAGCTTCTCTGTCATCTGTCACTTCACTTGATACACATTTTTGATGTTCCGTAAGTTCCCTTTTCATGGTTCCTTCCGTAGCATAAACAGACCCAGTCATTCTTCAGAAAGGATGGAAAAGAAGACAAATAATAATATTAGACACTAGCTAGTGAGCCACACTTATACAACTTTGGGATATCCCAATAAAAAAAGGCAATTTTTGATATTTTGGCTGTTTTGAAATCATGGATCAATTTGTCTCATCATTTTCATATCATTTCACATCACAGCATTATCTGAATTTATATGCTTTTATGGTAATTGAATGTAAATAAGAATCATTATAAAGATTAATAAATGGGAAATTGCATAATAGTCCCTTCCACAGTTCCCTGCTGCATCTTGAAAGGTAGCCAAGCCTTTGCATTCAGAAGTCTCTATCATTGGCAGCTCACTGTTCTTCTCGCTTTAATGCACGGCTACCTTTCAAGATGGCACAGGGATCGGTGAAGGGGATTATTGGCGGCATGACTCCTAAATGACTTCCAGATCAAACTTGCACATGGACATGCCTAGTTTTCTGCAAGGATTGATATGTTCAGATCAAAGTGGAAGCCATTTAGACATCATGCTACCATTTACCCTGGTTTGGCTTTCCTGGATTCAGTTCCATTCTAATGCCTTTGACACATCTGATCATTTAGATACAGCCTAGACTGAATCACTGCCACTCGGGGTATATAAAAATTTTCTAATACATTACAATATAAAATATATTTATTGTCAATTTAAAAATATATTTAATACTAAGCAGTTTTCTAAGCAAAATATGCTTAGCATAAAGCAACAAGGGCATAATTTTTATTGAATATAATTTATAAGATGTATGAAGTCTGTACCCATATTTAACATGGCTCCTAATACTTTGTTGTAATTGTCATGCTTATTTTTACTTTTATTGGAGACTTGTAGAAACCAATATAGAAAAACCCATACTAGTATCTAGAAAAATACCTTCCAAAATCCACTGGAATTCACCCTATAAGCCCAGCTTTTTTGAGTTTGAAAAACATAATGCTTTGTGGTCGAGCTTTAGTAAAAACAACACTATCTAAGGCATGGTGAACAAAAGATGTTTGTACTCAAGGTATACCATAATGCACCATGTTTTCTATCTGAGAAAAGGTCTATTTTGCTGTTTTTCATTCATTTCAATTTGCAGGCAACTGTGGTAGTTATGTATGCAGCCTGACTTAAACTTCTGTCCCAGTAACCAGAGGTAAAACCAGGCTGCACACAACCTATGTGTTACTTAGACCATACCTAAATATTATTCTATCTTGTCATTAAAACTTATTGTTTATGTACTGTACATAGGTTGAAATACCCAAAAGATGCTTGAAATTAGTACTTGAGAATTTCTTATTGTGAACCATTTGTAAGCTGTATCTAAGCTAATGCTAAGCACCTGAGCCATTAAAATAACATTGCAATTTCACATTGTTAGATGCAGTAATAATACCTTGGGAGGATCAAAGGGGTGCTCTTTAAATTTGATAATTGTTTTCTAAGGAGGGGAGGCTGGTAGAAAGTTTAACTTGCAATATGCTTATATTTAAGTTTTTTTATTGGGAGGGTGTAAACATTTTCCACAACATTTTTAGAATGAGGCTTTTTTTCCCATTTTCTTACTCTTCGTTGACCCAAGCTTTGTGATCAATTAGGTTGTTTCCCATTGAAACGTATCTACAATTCATTGACCAGTTTCTTGCAAGGACTTACTTAACCTTAGTGGGCTCCCTGTGGTCCTACCTACCCCACCCCCGACACTCTATTTGATCACGCGATAACGAGGTATGGCATGACGTCAGACCCTGCGCACTGGTTTCGAAAAGTCCTTTTCGTTCTGCTGTGGCCATTGTCTAGCAGGAGAACCAACTGGTTCACTAGAAAAATAGTCCCGTATCCAGAGATATCTGGCGTAATCTTCCTCCAAAATGGGTAGTAAGTATCTTTAATTATTCTCGTAACTGCCTGTTCCTTCTTTTTCGACCAAACACGTCTCTATCTATTCGAAATCGTAATCTAATTTGTTCCATTTTTACGCTTGCAGTAAAATTTCTCGAAGTCCTACGGCCATTCATTTCCGTTTTACCTGAAGTATCTAAACCAGAAAGAAAGGTAAGTCCACATTTTAGAAGCCCCACAATGCTAGTTTAACCTTAGTCTTCTCAATATTTAGTATTATTCATCGTCATTACTGTATTCTATATTTACGCTCTTCGTAAAGTGAACAAAACCTGATCCCCAATAGTGGTTACGTGTCCTTTAGCGTGTGGCCCCAACAAAAGTAGACGCTATATTGTAAACCGTCTTTTCTTACTTATGAACTCAATACAACTTCAATTTATTTCAACAGATCCAGTTTAGAGAAAAAGTACTATGGACGGCAATCACACTTTTTATTTTCCTGGTTTGTTGTCAGGTAAGGAAAAGGCTACAAAACGTTTTCTTTGTGTGATTCTGTGATTTTTATAGGGGAAAATTTTGGTATCAGCTTTGTAAACTGTTTTGGACTTCCTAAAGTGTTTTTTTTGTATATCTGATCTTTTAGATATTACTTAAAGGTGCCGTAGATGTTACTCTGAGGCCATAAATTCACGATTAGTTAACAGTTATTGAATATTTTAATTTTTTTAGATTCCTCTATTTGGAATCATGTCTTCAGATTCGGCAGATCCTTTCTACTGGATGAGAGTCATCCTTGCTTCTAATCGAGGTAAGAATTCGTAATAACTCTAGTAATTAATAACTTTTAAAAATATTACTGCACTATACTTCAATCCAAGAAAATTTAATAATTTTGTTAAAATATATATATTAGTATTCATTTCATTTTAGATTTTTTTWAAATACAAAATTAGTCCCTTTGTGAAACATCTATGACTGGTAAAGAAGTCAATAAACAAATAAGATTTTAAAAATTAGAATTGAAATAAAAATGGGATTTGTAGTGGGAGTACCGAGTCTTTTGCTTTCTTTTATCATTCAACACTAAAATTGTAACACCAAAGTTACTCAAGATGAATATGAAAAATATAAAAAAGGGTTTTGGGCTTTGAGATTTCCCCCTTCTTTTTCTTTTCCATCAATTGATAATACTTGTAATTTTCAAATTGTTCATTGAATAAGGGTCACAGTTTTCTTAATTGATTACATGACATGCAACCCTGATAGCCTAAGAGGTATGTATTCATTTATTAATTGATTTAATCTTTTTCAGGTACATTAATGGAGCTTGGTATCTCTCCAATTGTCACCTCTGGTCTTATTATGCAGGTATAGACGGTTAACATATACTTTTATAGTCTTGATTGAAGTGTAAGGTAATAAGGTTTAACTATATTTTTAACTTTTCTTTGTAGCTGTTGGCTGGTTCCAAAATCATCGAAGTAGGAGATACTCCAAAAGATAGAGCGCTTTTCAATGGAGCTCAGAAATGTATGTATTTGCAACTCCATTGCTATTGTCATTCTCTTATGAATGATTGGTATAATTATTTTTTATTTTCTTGAGAGCTAGAAGACATTACTTTTGAGAAATCTAATTATTTTCTTGTGTATGATTTAATACCTTTTGCCATCGAACATGGCCACCATCAATAGACTATCAGGGCTSAAAATAGCGGCCTGCCAATGGCCAATGACAGGACAAATTTCATGCTTGCCAGGCGAAAATAAGGATGCACTGCCAAATGAATAATAAAATGGCATGCAAAATTTACTGGAATGACCTCCTTTTACCATGCTCCTTTACTATGGCAGGCTAAGAGTTTTCTATTTCGAGCCCTGACTATGTGAAGTCACTATCGGAAGAATGGTAAAAACCCTTACTGTTCAAGGTAAATACATGTATATAATAAAAAAAATCATTTGTTCTTGTTTTTAGTATTTGGTATGATTATTACCATTGGTCAAGCAGTAGTGTATGTGATGACTGGTATGTATGGTGATCCATCTGATCTTGGACCTGGTATCTGTCTTCTCATTATCATTCAGGTGTGTATTCTGTGCATCTCTTTGCATTATAGATTCACTAGTGAAAAACAGCTTACCACTGACAAGGCCTTCAGCTCAGATTAGTAACAACAACATAGCTGGAATTATTAAATTTACATTATGAAATAATGTGAAATGAAAACTAACACTGATTGCCATCTTTGTTCTATCTTTTATTGTAGCTTTTCTGTGCTGGTTTGATTGTTCTGTTGTTGGATGAGTTACTCCAGAAAGGATATGGCCTTGGCTCTGGGTAAGATATGTGCAATATTTGACCTAGGTTTAAATTTTTAACTTGACTCACTCTAATTTCACTTTGTAAACTTTGTTTTCTGTAATGTAAGAATTCATGTTGATAAAAATTATAAGCAACACACAGCAATACAGTGAAATTAGATCTTTTTTAGATACCTCTTGATTTTTACCAATTATTTGCTTTGATCTTTTCAGTATTTCATTATTTATTGCCACAAATATTTGTGAAACCATTGTCTGGAAAGCATTCAGTCCTGCTACAATCAACACTGGAAGAGGTGAGCATTCATGTTGTATAAAATTAGTAACTTTAGGCTTTAGAAGCATGCATTGTAAGAAAAATGTTTGCTTGCACAGGGTTTGGTAGGCATTTGAATTAGAAGGGAATACAGAATGTTATAAATATTTTAACACAAAGCAAAACCAAGTTGATAAGTCCTGCCTTTGTAATAACAACTACAAATGGTTAGATTTTCAATTGGCTTGGATGACCACATAAAAATAATAGTGATTCCGTCTTCCCACACTACCTCACCCTGCAGTGGAGGGCCATAAAACAACCACTGACAATGTAAAAAAAAGAAACCCTGGCAATGACCACCCCCTTAGTGTCTGGCCTTTAGTATTGGTTTCTTAGGGGTCAATTGTGGTGTACAGATTTAATGGGGTTGGAAAGTACTGCAATGCACCTTGAAGGGGAACCTGTTTCCTATTGTACAGCACCAGCCTGCAGGCAAAATCTCAAATAAATGTTTATTCTGACAGTTTTTTTCCAGCATTTCTGGTTTTCCTTCCTCTGAAAAACATAACAAGCCAAGCTTGAATGTGATTTTTGAATGAGCTGTGACCTGAGTTTTATCATCCCAGAGGTTGTTTTGGGGTATAGATAAGATTTGAAGATGCTAAACTATTTACTTAATTTCATCACCAGGGACTGAGTTTGAAGGTGCAGTCATTGCTTTGTTCCATCTGTTGGCAACAAGAACAGACAAAGTTAGAGGCTTAAGAGAAGCTTTCTACAGACAGAACTTGCCCAACCTTATGAATCTCATGGCTACTATCTTTGTGTTTGGTATTGTTATATACTTCCAGGTAAGATTTCCAGGATAATGAATTATACTGGCTTTAGTGTTCTGTAGAAATAATTATTTATAAGTATGATACCAATAGAAGACCTTGGGGTGATCTCTTGTGTGACTGAAATGATGATTGTCTCATCAACTTGATTTCCTTTTTCCTTTTCCAAAAATCTAGGGCTTCCGTGTTGATCTTCCCATCAAGTCTGCACGATATAGAGGACAGTACAGCTCTTACCCCATCAAGTTGTTTTACACATCAAACATTCCAATCATTCTCCAGGTAATTAAAAATCAAAATCAACTTTCTCTACCACTGTTTTTTGTTGTTACATATATGCTAATTGAGACCAAATTTGCAACAGGGAAGTTAACAGAATGGCAGTTAACTTGTCCTATGGTCAATTCACCTGTAATCCAGGTCAACTCACTAATAATCACAGTACTCTACTGGCAATATTAACCTTTTTGCAACTTTGGTCTCAATCAGCCAGAGCAGTGAAAAGAATGGCAGCATTTAACGTTCATGTCTTTGGCATCACCTTACAAAGTTTTCAATGTCTTCTGTCCCTAGAGTGCCCTGGTTTCCAACATCTATGTTATTTCTCAAATGCTGTCAGCCAAGTTTGCTGGAAACTTCATTGTCAATCTTCTGGGAACTTGGGCAGAGGCTGGAGGAGGACCAGCTCGTTCCTACCCTGTTGGTGGACTGTGTTATTACATGTCCCCACCAGAGACAGTAGGCCACATAGTAGAGGATCCAATCCATGCTCTTATCTACATCATCTTTATGCTTGGATCTTGTGCATTTTTCTCCAAGACATGGATTGATGTATCTGGATCCTCTGCAAAGGATGTAAGTATAAAATATAAGATTTCAATTTTATTTTCTGGCTGTGAGCAATAATTTTGTTTCTTCTAGGTTTGAGTTGGTACATTAATGTAGAGACATTTCATCAAAGTTCATTTACTTTTTACATCTAGGTTGCCAAGCAACTGAAGGAACAGCAGATGGTAATGCGTGGACACAGGGACAAGTCTATGGTGCATGAACTGAACAGGTAGAGAAATCTCAACCTAAAGCACAGCATCCTTAATAATAACTACAAATATTGTCTATTCTTTTGCTTTCATTCTTGCAGAATATTAAATATCTGTTTCATTGTGTTTGCAGGTACATCCCAACTGCTGCTGCTTTTGGAGGACTTTGCATTGGAGCATTGTCCGTCCTTGCTGATTTCCTTGGTAAATAATGTCACATTCATAAACACTCTTTCTACATATCCATACCTTTAGATTTAGGATCGTAAACGTACCATGTATATTAACAATGTAACATCTGTACATTAGTACTTTCACTTAATTCAAATATTAATCAGTATTTTTTCCCCTTTCAGGTGCCATTGGTTCTGGTACTGGTATCCTCCTTGCTGTCACCATTATCTATCAGTACTTCGAAATCTTTGTAAAAGAGCAAAGCGAGATGGGTGGAGTGGGAGCTCTGTTGTTTTAGTTTTCTTTATTTTATTTCTCCTTGTCAAGAGCAGATGATTCATGAATCTGTTACAATCATTTCCAATTAGAACTCACACCTCGACAAATCAAAATATGCAAAAGGGTATTTAAATTTTTTAAGAAGACAGTGTTCAACATTGATATGTCACAGTAAGACCATACTATGAATAAAGCTTTTATTTGCAAAGGACTGATAACAGTGGATTATATACACCATGTACTATTTCCCTACTATATCTGAATATCCATATAAACATCAGTGTTTTGGAGATTAAAATTTTGAATTTCTTCTCTCACCCTTTTTCATTCATTACTATCATTAAATAAAATGTTGACGGTTTGCTGACAAAAAAACTTGTCAAATGGCTTGCCATATCCTTGTTTAAGAAAATGTAACAAATGATACAATTCAGTTCTTTTATTGGATATATTGTACATTGTGTAATGTCATTACTGTAAAATTGATAGTCATCCAGGATTTTACATTATTTTAGATGCCCCTAGTTTGTGTCACATGGCCAATATATAATATAATAAAAGATAAGAAAATTTGAATAAAATTTGTCTCGATTGCTTGTTCAAGAAACCCATAAAATGTCAGTTGGTATATTGCCTTTCTAAGTGCCACCATGGAAAATAATGCCTTGACATCATGAATGATAATTCTATTATCATTGTGACTAAGGACAACTTTTATCACATGGAACCTTTTTTGTTCTCATGAGCATAAAAACTTTTGTTTAACCACGTGTAGCCTCATTCTGAAGTGCTTGAATGCAAGGCCACACAGAAATTTATTGCTCCAGTCAACATGTCTGCCAATGTGATAAAGATCCAAGGACCCCAGCAACTGTGTGTCCCTGAACCACAACTAGAAAATGCCATGTCAACTATGAGCCCCAGTGGTCTTTTCTCAATGTCCCTTTTACAGGGCTGTCAACCCCCAAGATATTCAAATCTGGAGAATTGATAGGGAAGGGACATGACGTCACAGCGCGTCAAAAAGCGCGCGGAAAGACGCCTTTCGGTTTGTAACATTTGATGTGATTGGTTTATTTCTGACCAATCAGATTATCGTTTACATTACAATGGCCTGCTTGCAAGAACAGCCATGAGGAACGTTTTGATTTTGTTTAAAATAACACAAACAACATAAGATAATTGGAATTTTATGGTTGTGAAACTCGGGTCTCACAAGAAAAAATGGTCAGCTTCGGGGATTATCCCGGAGATTTGAGACTCTAATCTGGAGACCGGGAGATACGGCCCAAAATCTGGAGACTCCCGGTTTATCCGGGAGAGTTGACAGCCCTGCTTTTAGTGCCTCTGTTCATGTAGCAAGCTGTGTCCCCAATGAGTTAGTCCCCGGCCCCCTGGCACCTCTGTCATGAACATTTCACTGACTATGGACTATGTATGTCATCCATCATTGGACAAAGAAAAATATCTTTTTCTTTGACTAGTCCAGCTAAAGGAACTGTCTAGAAATCTTTTGGCAAGGGCTTCAATTTCTTTAGAACATAGCAGACAAGTCATGCTAACAGCCTTGGACTGTTGAAATTGCTGGTTACCGCTCTCTATCCTTTATATCAATTTCATTTGATATTCAGCTATTTTTCTTTTTAACTTCTACTTCCGTTACTCTCTATCCCTTTTCATTAAATGGCTTATATTGTTTTTTCCTCTTTCCTCTTTTTCATTTTGCGCAAGAATGAAATTGGACACTGGGAACTAAAATGAAGGTAAGTACTTCATGTATGCCTGATTATAATGTCCTGGCGGTATGCTTTATGTTATCGTGCATGATG